TTAGCATGGTTGCCTTCCAAGCAGCCGACCCGGGTTCGACTCCCGGCTAACGCACTTTTTCTCTCCTTGTCTTTCCATGCTGGTATATCGTGGCTTTTCTCTTCTCTTTTCTACACTATACATATCAGCAGTTTATTTTACAGTGTATAGTATATAGATAGAAGTGGATCGAAAGGAAATGAATGACAACAGCAGGAGGAAAAAGTCAGACGTCATATTTGAGATTTTGTCTTATGGAGGATTTGGAGTGTTGGGAGCGCTTAGTGTTGCTATTGTTTTTGAGTAAAAGTGCACATATTGTGTTCAAAAGTTATTCAAAAAAGTAGGTGTTTGTATTTTTTATCTCAGCTTTTGAACGAAAAATCTATACAGTGTGGAAACAGCTCAAAATGCTCAACACAAGTTTCTCGACTTCCTCTTGACTAAAATTCGATTAACTCGCGTCAAAAATCAGTGATCAACGGAAGAAATAAAGGAAAGCAGACGGTTATGGCTTAAAAAATCAAGAAATGAACTGAAAAAGAAATGAAAAGAATCTTTTTTTCTACGGGTGGAGAAATTTTCATCGCGATTTCATTTTTTCATTTTTCAACTCATAACCAATCAGACTGCAGTAAATTCGAAGTAATATAGTGTCATCAGTCAACAGGAATTCGACAAAAAAGCTTTATGAATACATATTCCAAAGCTTCCTTAAGTGATTTTTATTTAGTTTATTCTGATTAAAACCAACTAAAACAAGCAAGTTAATGATAAGAGAAACGATTTGGCCGCAGTAGATGTGAAAAATAGAGTATACAGTGGACTCAGATCATTGACCCTTAACTATCAATATGTTCCTCTTCATAATCATCTGACGTTTTCTCTTTTCTGTATATTTGAAGCGAAGTCAGTCAGGTGATGTAAAACTGGTACAACTGGCTTCATAGCTGATGTGCAATATAACCTCACAACGTCTTTGGTTAAACACGTGCCAGTAATATTATTCATTGCATGATATTAATATAACAATAAAATATGTATGTAACAGTGAACGAGATGAAGAACGAACAAAAAGAAAACAAAGCCAGTGTAACCAATTTTTTCTCATAGTGGTGTTCATCCTTGATCGATTGACATAGGTCCTAGTAGAAGTTCTTGATACCAAGAAGGCAAGATTTGTGGATATTTCTTGCGTAGGAAGTGTTTCTTGTTATTTTCTTGTCGGTTTCTTGGCCGAAGAAATGACATTGCGGTGTTTCTTGTGGCAAGAAATATAAGCTATTCATTTCTAGCCCAGGAATATTTAGATTAACAAGAAATTTTTTTCCGTTCTTTCAACGGGATCATTTACAATCTATATACAATGGCCATGTGCTTCACACTTGAATGTTTTTTCTTTGCTTATTCTCTCATTAGAGAAGTAGCAGATAAGAGGATTTCTCTTTTCGCATACGCATATCTTTCTGTTCTCTCCTCTTTCGATCGACGCGTTGAGACGATAGTTATCTCCGCACATGGGATATCTACTATGGAAAGTGATATCCCCTTATTTGCTAGTTCTCTATTCTTGAACGAAGCATGAATAGTGAAGGATGACAAGTCAGTTCTTTTTTACCTAGTGCAGTAAGTGTGTGAAAAAAACGTTTAATTTGCGCTAAGAATACCGGCCATAACTCTCTGATTTTCTATCCAGAGTGTATTTTTTTAACATTCCACTGACAAGATCTTGGTCTACTAAAAAATGTAGGAACAGCCTCAAAACTTTTACTCTTTCGCGCTCAAAAAACTCGAGAAAAGTTATAAAATGAAAAGACCGTTCTATTTATGCACACTTACAGACCGTTTTTTTCAGTTTTTATGGCTGTTTTTTTCGACTTTTCCAGTAAGGTTATTCGAAAAAAAAATTATCAGATAAATGCGCAACTACATCAAAGAGCGTCAGAAAAATAAAGTCTTTGTAGTTTTCGTTAATTACAAAGTTAAACTATTCTCTTTTAGTCGGTGTCCTCTCAGTTCGTCCCAAATTGGCTTTGTAAGATCAAACAATACCAAAGGGGCGAGCAGGTGTGAGAGTGAGCAATTTGGGACGAACTGGGAGTAAACCCTTTTAGTTAGCTTCAAGGGAAAAGTAAAGGATGAATTTTTCTTTTTGGTTGAAATAATCTGTTAACTCATTTGTTAGCCCGTTTAAACTTATAGAAAGATTGAAGTAAAAGATAGATTTTTGAACCTTAACTCAACATGAGAATTAATCAGCGCAATAGTACACGAAGTTTACAGGGTTACATAGTTTCACTCTGCTTCTGATTCAGAGAACAGTGCTATTTCAGAGTAACTGAATCTTAGATTTGACACAGTTTTCAAGGTGGAAACACGAAATATTTGAAAATAATTTTTTTCATCAGTTAGAGAAGTTTAATAAAATAAATAGGGGGTTGTCGAAACAACAAAAAGAATCTTTTACCGTTCTTCAGTGTGGCGAAAGTAATTAGGAAAAATTCAGATAATTGAGGGAATAATCATTAGCAAAAATTGCTGTGCACTTAATCTGAAAAGTTTTCAAACATTCAAAGTAGACCAACAAACTTGATTGGATCATGTTCTCGAAGACAAAGCCGGGTAAAACATGATAAAACCAAGATTTCCATGCACCTAAGACCTTGCCGTTTCTTATGGGCAAGAACTTTCATTAGTGACACTATGCCTTTGTATGTAAGGTTACTTTATTAAGTTTTTCAGGTTACTTAGAATAGCTGATGTTACCATCAATTGATTAATGACTAATATCACTCAGTTATCGAGACGACATAAGAGACTTGGTTATCGCTGTAAAATAATTGCCATCCCACTGGTAGTCTATCTGTTGACATTTTATCTCGCTGACAATTACGACTGGCTATTTTTGGGAGCTGAGCGATGCCAGTACAACACCAAATATGGTTCCTTGTCTTCTCCAACAGAAAATTATTTCACTCAAATAACCAATTGTCTTCCAAAGATAACAAATATTCACCAGTTATTTCAAAAATTTGATAAAAACAATGGACGACTCATCGCTAAAACTGATATTCGTAAACTAATTTTGACATTAAAACAAGAAGAAACAGAGAAGCTTAAAAACACTGAATTATTTAATGATTGTCTAGAAAATTGTTGTTGGTCAATATCAAGTAGACCAACATCTTATTCTAGTGTTTTATCACGTATTAGCCAAATCGATATGAAACTCATTGCTGATTTACATTACGGTACATTACCGATACCTGATTTTGTTCAACTACCAGAATTTACTTTAGATATACTCCCGTGCATGAGAAATGGTACTGTTTTATTTGTTGATTCGACTAGTGTCGCTCATTTTCTACGCGATATTCATCCACAAATTCAAGTTGATTATATTTTAATGACTGGTGATTCAGATTTATCCATGCCTCACTATAGCATCTCAACTACTTTGACACATGATATTTTTCATGGAAAGACTCACATTCGTCACTGGTTTGCCATGAACTGCAACAAGAATGAGTGGTCAAAATATTTCTCGTGTATTCCCCAAGGTATTAGTCAATGGGCAAATCAACGTTATTACGTGCAAATGGCTAGTGGAAAAAATGATAGTTTTTTCAATACGTATTTGAAATTAAATGATTATTGGCTTCTCACGTCGTTTAATGTCGCAATGAATCCACAGATAAGACAGTCTGTCTGGAACTTGACCTGTTATGGACGATTAAAATCTATTTCAAAATGCCATTTTGAGAAGGATATGAATTTGTGGTCACTTTATGTGCATATTGCACGAAGTAAATTTGTTATATCACCACCGGGTAAAGGATTAGATTGTCATCGGACGTGGGAAACACTTTATTTAGGATCAATCCCAATTGTTTTATCAACAACAATTGATTCACTGTTTCAACGACTACCCGTTGTTATCGTAAAGAACTATGAGCAAATTACGCTAGAATTTCTTCAAAAGACATATGAAAATATGTTCAAGCAGAAATTTGATTATAGCCGACTGTATAAACAATATTGGCAGCAAAGAATTGATAATTATAGATCAGGAAATATGAAAAATTTGCAAATAAAATATCATTTAAAGGCGAAAGTGACTACTTGGATATAATGAAAAACTCTCCTATTTAGTTTACAATATGGCATATTAGCAAAGAATTTTCCTACGGAGGATTGCTGCGTTCAATCAAATGTTAAATCGGAACAATAATTAGAAAAAACGAAATAGTACCGTACACAAAGTGGGTGTATATCACATACGCAGTAGTACATTAAAGAAGAAATAGCAATGCTGTTAAAAAGCCTTGTAAAAAAATAAAAATTGATTGTTTATAGATATGGAAGAAAATACACTTGATATGCACAAAACACAGTATGTTCAAAGTCGTATAGCGAAGTACTTCAATATATCACATACTTTCAACGTATACCGGTCGATATATATACCAGTATCATTAACAAAGAGGTGACCATCATTAGGCTAAGACTTCAACTTAACGCAGGATACTGTTAATCAGCTGCAGTATGGCCAGTCACTCTAAATCTCTTGTTGCATACGTTACAAGATTGGAACTAGCAAAAAGCTCTTATTGTTCAAATATTTTCGCTTGAAAAAGCTTCTAGGGCGACATGCTATCATATAATGGGTGGGGACAGAGGAAATGAGCCCTGTAATAGTTTCTATTTTTCTCATGTTCCTTTAAGACCCCAAGATTAATGGCTTTTTTAAAAGATACGCCGCGAAATACTCTACAAGGTCATACTTAAACTTTAATTTCAGAACTTCAATCAAGAAAACTACGCAAATTATACGAAAGATGAAAACAATCAAAACTTTCTAAACGCAAAAACGATTGCTTGTGTTAAAGTAAGAAAAACTGAATTAGCCATTTTGTGGCCATGATTTTGCTAACACGTCAAATTTTTTCGCATCAAAACTCACGGTGAAATAATAGTTTTTCTGTCGATTGTCACGCATTTTTTCATTAGTTTTTGGAATTCTGCGTATGATGGTACTTCCAGTAAAAGTTCCATAACTCCATCAAAACAAAAGATTTTTTGATCAGAAATGGTTGTCCTTCTCTATATAACGGTAAAATCAAATTCATTGTTGCAAACAAAGAGATTGTCAAGTTTTGACGTGTTTTTGAAATTTCGTTCTCGAGTACAGCACCTGCTCTAAAAAGGCTTTCTAGAGGCCACAAGAACGAGCACATTTGAAAGTACCAAAAACGGAGTTCTCGCGTTTGCGTATAATTTTGCGTATAAGTTCTCGTATAATTTGCGTAGTTTTCTTGATTGAAGTTCTGAACTTAGAGTTTGGATATGATTTTCTAGAATATTTCGCCGCGCATCTTTTAAAAACGCCATTAGATAGATAGATAGATAGATTTATTTTACACAAAGGTAGTATATCACGAAAAAGCAGCAAAAAGACTTGAGCATCCGGAGACACCTCATAATAACCTAAACTAAAATGTTTCTAAAAAGAATCGCTACTATAAGACATACATTCATTAACCTTACGGTCGAAATGGAACATGGGAAAAATAGAAACTACTAGAGGGCTCATATCGTCTCGTCCACTCGTTAAATATCTACATTTACATTTAGGGAAAGACAAATGCATATCTGAATTCCCACCTATATTTTCTACAAACACATGATGGTATTCAACTTTATGTGATCATGACATCGTGTGTCAACGCTCTAACCACCTGAGCTGCCGAGTCCTAGCTTCGTCATATCCACTTTCGTCTTACGTAACAATGTTTTCTTGCACCACAAAGTGCGCATGTTGCCTTTAATGTTGTTGACAGCGTTTTCGATAGATGTTTTGGTGGGGAGGTGGCGAGTCTGTTGAGTAACTAAAGTTTTTTCTTGAGTAACGCAATTTTTGAGTAAATTTTTTCTGAGTAAGTGCATGTTTTAAGCTAATTGAAGCCTATCACTCTTCAATTAGCTGAAGAAACAAAACATCAACTTAGACTAGTGCTGAACGCTTAGTTGTACATTTTTCTTTTAACTTTCTTAATGCGGCATCATATTGTTTATAATTTAATGGGTGTTTAGCCTTGGGGTCGTAAAGGAATATGAGAAAATAGAAACTACTAGAGGGCTCATATCGTCTGGTCCACTCGTTACATGTCTACATTTACATATAGGGAAAGACAAACGCTATATGCACAGATATATATATACTACCATGATTAGACCATAGAAGTAAGAATTGTTATACTGTGTCTGTCAGCTTCACAGACACAACATATATAGCAGTTTCCTTTCTCGACTAGTGCTTGTAGTTGACTTATACTTGATTTGATTTTACAAACAAAGCTGACTTTTCAAAGAAAAAGCTGCTGTAAGAAAGCAGACAAGTAAAACATACTTATACACACTGCCACGTGGAGTAACAAAACCACGAGAGAGAGAATACACGCATATATCTTATAGATTCACTCTTACAGAATAGAGTACAGAAATAAACAGAAACAAAAACAAAAACAGAAAACGCCTCAAATTTGTGAATGATATTTCAGCGTCGCTTTGAACTGACCTAGATTATGCGCTACAACAACCGTTTCTGGTAAAGCGTTCCGATATTCGGTAGTCTGATAGAAAAAAGCTGGCGCTATCCGTTTTTCTGTAAGACTCGGTGTCGCGACTGGCTTCGTGTTTGCCCTTACGTGTTTTAAAACCGTACTTGTATTCAGACGCTCCCCTAGTGAAAGTACTTCTACGATGAGTACGACTTTACTCATAATTCGTCCATGAGTACTCATATTGGTACTACTAACAATTTCTGAGTATTGTTACTCAGTGAGTACTCA